TGGGTATAATGAGCTGGTTTTATATATGATATGAAATATTTTCATCAAACTGGTTAACATAGCCTTCATCGCATTTTCTTAGTTATTGTGTTAAGACATTTATACTCTACACTTAGTAAATTTAACATGTACCCTTGTAAAATGCACTATAGGTGTGTTCCCAACAATTACCCTTCCTGCACCCATTCTCCCCCCTCCCCTCATCTCCTTCTCCTTCCTCCCCCTCTTCTTGGGCTATAGTTGGGTTGTAGCTTTCATATGAAAGCTATAAATTGGTTTCATAGTAGGGATGAGTATACTGGACACTTTTTCTTCCATTCTTGAGATATTTTGCTAAGAAGAATATGTTCCAGCTCCACCCATGTAAACAAGAAAGAATCCGTTTTTTAAGGGCTGCATAATATTTCACGGTGTACATATGCCATAATTTATTAATCCATTCATGGGTCGATGGGCACTTGGGCTTCTTCCATGACTTAGCAACTAAGTCATGGGCTACAATAAACATTCTGGTGTAAATATCTTTGTTATAATGTGATTTTTGATCTTTTGGATATATACCTAGTAGAGGAATTAAAGGATCAAATGGCAGGTCTATTTTTAAATCCCTAAGTGTTCTCCAAACATCTTTCCAGAAGGAACGTATTAGTTTGCATTCCCACCAGCAGGGCAGAAGTGTTCCCTTTTCTCTACATCCATGCCAACATCTGTGGTTTTGGGATTTTGTGATGTGGGCTAATCTTACTGGAATTAGATGATATCTCACAATGATTTAATAATCTATAAATTAATTAGATGGTCTAGGTATTTTCTATCTTATTTTGTGGATCAGAAGACTGATAGGATGGACTTTCCAAAGGTCACATAGTAAATGACAGAGTAATTTAAATGGGCAATTTTAGATCTACATAGCATCAGGCAATTCCATAAGGCTATCTATACTGTTTCACATAATTCCTCATTGGAAATAGTGTCACCTGTTGGTACAGGCATGTAGCTCAGTTTAATGTGTTAAACATGACAAGTCTAGCTCGTAGTTGTATTCTTGCTTCTTGTCCCATATCTCATCCATTCCATCCACTTTTTTATATAACTTAAGACATCTTGTTATACATGGTAGCATATAAACATGGATCTCAGGGCAAATTTAGATCAGGTAAGGTAGTACTCCTTAGTATTGAGTTATATAATAATCTTCGGCTTTGTGTTCCTACTCTGTGAAATGAAAAAATGATGTTTTGCCTTTGTGAAGACTAAGGAAGTGGAATCATATAAAGCACCTCACACAGGCTTGACACATACTTGTTGAATACTTGTATTATTTTCCTCTTGTTGCTAACAAATTATCATAAATTAAGTGGCTGAAAACAACACAAATTTATTATCTTTTTTTTCCTTTGAGACAGAGTCTCACTTTGTAGCCATTGGTAGAGTGCTGTGGGGTCATAGCTCACAGCAACCTCAAACTCTTGGGATCAAGAGATTTTCTTACCTCAGCCTCCCAAGTAGCTGGGACTACAGGCCTCCACTACAATGTACCACTAGTTTTTTCTATTTTTAGTAGAGATGGAGTCTCACTCCTTCTCAGGCTGGTCTCAAACTCCTAACCTCAAGCAATCCACCCACCTGGGTCTCCCAGAGTGCTAAGACTACAGGCATGAGCCACTGTGCCCAGCCACAAGTTTATTATATTACCCTTCTGGAAGTCAGATGGCCAATTGGGGTCTTAAGAGAGCTAACTAAACCCAGGGTGTTGGCAAGGCTCTGTCCCTTCTGGAGGCTGTAGGGGGTGATCTGCTCTTCAGTTTTTCCAATTTCCTTGGCTCATGGTCCCTCCAGCACTGGCATCAGTAAGGTCTGCTTTCATCATCACAACTGCTTCTTAGACCCTGTGTCTTCCTGTTTTCCTTATAAGAACCTTTGTGATTCCAATGGGCTCAGCTGTGTAACCTAAGATAATTACTCCAGATGGAGACCCTTAAATTAATCACCTATGCAGAGACTTTTGTTTATTTTATTTTATTATTTTTTCTCTTATCTTTTGCCATTTAAATGAAGGTATTCACTGATTCCAGTGATTAGAGTGTGAAAAACTTTGAGAGCCAGCCACAGTCCTCCTTTTCTTTCCTCTCCTCCAAAAACACAAATCAGATGTCATCATTTTTATCTTTAAAATCACACACACACACACACACACACACATCAATTTGTAATTATTTGGAGACCAAAACTCAAGCCTCTTAGCACAACACTTGAACCTTCCATGGCTCAGTTTATTCGTTCTCTCCTAATTCAACTTTTCTAACTTCACTCTCAGTTTTTCCACGCACCATCCCCAGCTTATCTCACCCATACCATCCTGCATCTTGTCCTCTCGACACCAGACTCCAAGCCTTTGCTTATATTGTTCCCTGAGGCTAGAACCTTCTCTCCCACCCCCACATATATGGCTCAAAATGTCCCCTTTTAATGAAACCTTTTCTATTTATTTTAGATGAAAAGAATCTTCCACTCCTCAACATGGAAGACTCAACATGGAAGACTTAACATCAGTCTTTTTCTGCTCATTCCATCCATGTATTTTGTTCTCCTTTGTGTACACTTGTTTCCTGGGCCACCATGACACCGGAGAAAAAGCCTGCCTATACTCCTCAGTACGAAAGCCACATATGGACAAAATGGTCCACGTGGTTCTATTCCTATGGCATTTTTAGCATATTCCAGCTTTGAAAACTTCTCACTTGTATTTATGGAAGACTCTTAAGGCTGTCCAATTTCTGTTCATTTCAACAATACATCACCATCCATGGAACATCCACCATTTTCTTTCTTACCATTAGCTCTTTGGAGATTTGGTATTGAGGTTTTGGAAAATGGTACAAGGACCAATAAATATGCCAAAGCAATGTCCCAAACTCCCGTGGATGCTGCTGCAGCTACTGTTTCTGACATCTCTGCTCCCATGGGAAAATTATTCCCATGTTCCTGATTGGAGAAGCCTGTCTGCCTTTCTTTTATATTCTTTCTGAAAGCAATAGTGCTTGAACATTTGACTCCTGAAAATGTAGGTGCCCCACCAAGAATTAGGTAATCTAGCTCTTTCAGTTTTTAGAAACAGTTTGTCTGACCCTAGAGTTGGGCACACGTTCATAGGAAATGGATTGTGTGATCATCTGAATGACCTTCCTTGATCTGTGTTCAAAATAGCTTAATCCTCAGGCTTTGTCCTCAGATCAAACTTGTACCCTTTTTCCTGTGAGCTAGTTATTTTGTTAAATGCTTCCCAGTCACACATGCAACTAGATTCCTAGCTGACCTGGTCTCTAGTGTTATAGGCATGCCTAGATCCATGTGAATATTGGGGTGCTTTTGGACCCATTTTGTTATTCTATTATGATTAATTGTTTACGTGCCTTTCCGCCTTGCTGTTGTAAAAGGTTTTTGAGAGCGGAGCACAGCTTCTGCCTCCTCTCGTGGGTGTCCTGTGTCATGTGTTGCACAAACTACAGGCTAAAGAAGTCGTTGCAGAACAAACAAAATTGGGCCATTTGTAACAAGGAAACTTTTCTCTCTACACAGTTAAAGAAAGGGATAGCTGCATTGTTGGAAGAGTGCAAATAAAGCACATAATAAATTCTGATAGCTAGCAGATCCTGGAACTCCATCAGAATGTTTCAGGATGTTTATTCAAGTCTGCCACTGTCCTATGCATAGAGAGGCACACTTAGAGCTGATGTGCCCTGAGAGAACTGACATTCATCAGGGTTTCTAAGCCATTACATTTCCTATGGACCCTGGCTGATGCTTCTCTCAAAAAATGTGAAAGGCCTGCTAATTTTTTCTAATGAAAGAGCAACAGAAGCACAGAAGTTGAAACCACAGAGGTCATTCTGTAGACCATAGGAGAGAGTCAACCCCCTAAAATAAGAGAAGGAAAGCAAGTTCACCAGACAACCATTTTCTATGAATAAAATACAATAAATCTGTATCTTTTTTTTTTTTTTGCAGTTTCTGGCCAGGGCCCAGTTTGAATCCGCCACCTCCAGTATATAGGGCTGGTGCCCTACTCTTTGAGCCACACGTACTACCCAAAATACAATAAATATGAATATTTGGTTCCCATTGAAAGGGAATTTAAAAATCTAGCATTTGCCTGTTTGAAATTTATTATAATATCTATACTCTTTCTAGGATTTTCCAAAGTGTCACTGATATAAAATAATAAATGACAGTACAATTTATGGAAAGTTCCTTTTGTGTGTTTATTAAGTCTTCTGAGGATGAGGAAGAAAAATAAAACTGTTTAGGGATTTGAGAGAAGAGTCAGAAGGCAGAGCTTAGTGGTGGCATTAAACTGTCAGGACCCTGGAGATGGGCAGAGACAGGGAACCAGGACTCTGACCTCAGAGGCCCAGCGTCCCTGCAGAGTGGGCTGTTGTTATGTGTGAGAGAGTCATCCTCCATCTGGAGCTTCTAAAGGCACACAGCTGGAAGATGGGATCTGACGTAAGATGTAGAATCTACCTAGGGGATGGAGGGAAGCAGTGTCATACCTTCACACCACATTCACTACCCAGTGTGGAAACAACCAGTGCTGTCCTGTGACAACTCAGCTTATTTATCATAGAATCATTCTGCAGAACAGACCTTATCCAGTAAAATATTATCAGTCCATCACACCTAAGTCTTCTCCCGCATGTCCTCTTCATGGCTGTGTACTTCTTTGGGGTAGGATTAGAACGCCCTGCTGGACCTGCAGGGACTGCCTGCCTGGTGGATGTGAAGTGCAGAATTTCTCTCCCTGGGGACTGCCTGACTTTTCACTGCAGATTGGATCCCATAGGAAGGCCCATAGGAAGGTGTTGGTGGAAACAAAGTCCAGACCCTGGCCAGAGGCTAACTTTTTAATGTTAGGAAGACAGAAGGACAGTACATACCCTAAAATTAGGACAACTGTCTTCAAATGATTAAAAGCTCAGGATCTTTATTCATTTTTCCTTTTAAGTATGGAATGCTTCCTGAATTTGCATGTCATCCTTCACAGGGGCCAGGGTCGTCTTCTCTGTATGGCTCCAATTTTAGTGTATGTGCTACTGAAGCCAGTGCAGGCTGTTTGCTCTTGACCAACTCTAATGTATTTGTCCTAGTTTTGCTAGCACACATGCTGACTGACTCTCACCCTCTGGTGGTTGAATCTTATGCTTATGCAAAGTCATGTGTTGATCCAGAGAAGATGTGGTGGTCTTCCCTGGGAGGCTCTCATGGCTGGTCCTGATGGGATCTGTAATAGTTTCCTCCAACTCTTGTAGCAAATCACAATAAATTCAATATCTTAAAAGTACAGAAGTGTGTTCTATCACAGTTCTGGATGTACAAATTTAAAATTAAGATGTTGGCCAGGTAGGCTACTTCTGAAGGCTCTCCGGGAGAGGCCTCCCTTGCCCTTCTCTGTCACATGCTCCCAGCATAACTTGAGGTTTCCTGGCTTGTCCACATCTCCCTCCAACCTCTGCCTCTGTCTTCACATGGCCATCTAATTCTTGTAAATCTAGTCATTGGATCTAGGGTTAACCTTAATTTGGTATTATCTCACCTTGATCTTTAACAAATTATATCTGCAAATATCCCAGTTCTAAATAACATATTTTGAATTTCTGGGTGGACATGAATTTTTGGGAAACAATATTCAACCCACTTCAGTGGACTATGGCCAGAACTGGGCCAAGAAACACTTAAATAAAGCTAGAGCCCACAGCACAGTCAGTTCTATACAGCCACTACTCTTGTGAAAAAAAGCTCTTTCTCCATCATGACACTGCTGCTATATACAGGAGAATGTGTAGATTGAGGACACCTACACCTGGAAAAGTCTGCCAGAGAGGTGAGTAGTCCACATTCTTTGCAGCCACACACAGCATCTCTGGACCAGGCTGTTGCTGCATCCCATGAAGAGTAAATGTTATAAAAGATTAAACGGCATATGAGAGAGACAGATGGGATTGCAGACCTTCCAGATACAATGGGCTCTATGAGCAAATTTCAGGGACACCCATATGTTTTTTTATAATCCTTTTCTTTATCTGACCATTTGAACTTTTGGGTTGTTTCCCAGAAATGGGGGATTTTCTATAAGAAGAATGAGCTGAGATTCTGAAGGCCCCTTGACAGACTTTAAGATTCACCATCCCCTACAACCTGCCCCCAATGCAATAGCCCCTTGTTAGTTATGTCAAGACCTGCCCCCAGGCACATAGCCTCTCCTTTAAAAGTCTATGATCTCCATTAGTTGGAGAGAGGATTTGAGGGAAGTTCTCCCTTTCACTGACAAGATGGTCTGTCATATTAAAAAATGTATTTCTTCCTTGTCTCAATAATCGGATCATTATGTGATTAGTAACTGGACCGAGGACTGCCTTTTGCAGTTTTGACAACAAAGATCAGAGGAGTTGCAGAAAATAGGACCATATTTATATTCATCATCTTTTTAGAATGTGCAATGAAGGATCCTTGACGTATAAATGTTCTGGAGAAATCCACTTTTTAATCTAAACAATTGCAAGGGAAATTCAAAGCAACCACATTTTGCAAGTAATTTACATCTACGCTTTAGGCAGAGGTAGGGGGTGCAGGAATTGTTTCAGTAATGGCCTTATTTCTTTTTTCAGCCTTTGTGGCAGGAAATATTTTGACCTGTTTGATCCTGGAAGCTCCTCAATTTCTCAGTGTTTCTTTTATCTCACTGCTCAAGAAAGACTGAAGGGAGGCTCAGGAAGCAGGTGGTTTGGAGGTAAAAAACGTTATGTGTTTTGTTTGTTCTAATTGTTTGCTTGTGGCATATGGAGAGAGATAGTCGATTAGGCAGTGAGGATACCGACCACCAAGATCTTTATAGACTCCGACTTGTACTCGCATCCTGATGGGACACAGACAGGAAGCTGTTTGTTTTAAGGATCCAAACATTTCACCACCACCAAATCTAGCCCTTTCTAAGAATGAAAAGCAAGAGCTGTTTCATGGCCCTCAGCATCTCCAAACAACAATTAAGAACAAAAAGTGTAACAAACACTCAGTCCAATTCAAACTCCAAAGGCAGTAATTAACGAGACACAAGGAGTGCTGCTTATTTTTGTAATTTCTTTTGGTTCTGATGCCTGACGTCGGTTGGGTATTCACTGTGCGTTTCACCATTTGTTTCAGCATACAGTTTTGACATACTAAGTGTGTGGTATGAGCATTGTTTGTAAAATTTTATGCAGTAGAAAATAATATGGATGACTAGTTTATAATCAGCAAGTTGTAGCTTCCTATGCAACATTTTAGAGGATTAAAGAGAAATAGTTTATTTGAATAAAAAAGAACAAAATTGGTAAGCAATAGGGGGCTGGCAGAGAAATTGAAGGGACTCTTTTTCACTGATATTTGAAGTGTTTATTTGCATGGTGAGGTTGTACTGAGATTTGTACATGTTTGGACAAATGTGGCTGTGCTACTGGGTTAGGACTCTTCATCATCGACACTTGTATTATAAATCCAGACTCTGCCAGGTACAAGCAAAGACCTGCCTATTGGGTTCAGCTGTGATAACCAATTTGTTTACGTAGGTTTGGCAAAGGTCCTGCTGTCAGAAGATTTATGGAGAGTGGCTGGCACCAACACCATTAGCGACAGAGAGTGTGTGCTAAATACTCCCCATCCATTTCACACACCTAGGGAGCATGAGTCTACTTTATGGGTTATCTATTCAAAATTTTATAAATCTCAAGTAACTTGTTCTTGCTACTCTTTTGGGCTGCAGACTTTGCTGCCACTCAGCGAGTGTTGAGGGTACAAATGAATAGTGATTTTAATCCAAGGGGAGGAGGAAAATTAGGATTCTTTAAAATCCAGGCACACGTTGGATTTAGGAACGCATGCTGTGAGCACCTGGCCACATCTCCCAGCACCTGGGACTCTAAGCTCAGGCTTTCCTCTGGTGACAGGCTGCCTGCCCATACATGTGGCACAGACAAACATATTGGGGGGTGGAGACACCACTCCCACACCCAGCAGCTCTCAACCAGTGACTTACAGGAGCAGAGAGGTTAAGACTCAGTGCTTCTGCCCTGGGATAACTCTTAGGTGCACGTCCTCACCAGAGCTCTCAAGTCTCTATTGGGGTTAAACGTTAGTGGCAATTAAGCCGATGATGCATTCCTTGCTGTGGCCATTCTTTTCTCTGTTTCCCTTCCTGCTCCTTTCCCAGAGTTTCCTGGAATTACTTCTCAAATAAATGATTTGCACATACATGAATGCTTAGCTCAGAGGGTGCTTCTGAGAAGCCCAGTCACAGATTATCAGTTATCTTCTTCTTCCTTTTTTTTTTTACCTTGCCAGACTCCTAAAGCTACTTAACCCTGACATTGAAGCTGATAACACTCTCACACTCACTCCCACTGTCCTGGGAGCCTGCTATGTGCCTAGACTGTGCTAGGGGCTTCCCATCCTGTGCTTCTGATCCTTCCAACTTACCCATAATGGAATTCACAAGTCAAGTTCTCAGCCCGAATCTTTACCCAACCTCTCTGCATTTCACTCTCCTAAATTAAATATTTATAAGAGGTGCATTTTGAGCAACAACAAACAACATGAATGCACCACTTAGCGAGACTTTCTCTCCTCTGCCATCAAATGTCTGGGCCTCAGCGGAAATGGGGCTGTCTGCATGAACCTCATTCGAGTCCCTGAGTCACTCACTAAACAGGCAGTTAGGAATCAGAGAGCACAGGAAACCTCGGGCAAGGCTGGTTCATTAGTGCCTCTGCTGATTAATCCAGACCTGGCTGCCACTTTGTTAAATGCCTCGAGGTGGAGTTGGAGGCAATCAGCCCTGTGGAAACGGCTTGATTGCTTCTCAAAGTGGCAGTTTGCTTTTGGAGACTGTACTTGTTCTTGTCAGATCTGTATTGTGACCTTGAGTAAGGACCATGACCCTGCCTCCCAGTACAGAGTGTCTGGGCACACTAGCTAGGACTCTCGTTACACAGAGACAGTTGCACATGAAGAACAGCCGCAGAATCCCCGAGTGCAGTTATATTTTGGTTTCATAAATGCAGCTCAATTATTGCATTTGTCTTCCTTTTGTATTTCGCTTGGAACAGGCGCTCCCACTCCATGTGCCAAATGCTTTATTTTTGCCTCCATTTTTAGAGAGTACATCAGGAAAATGAAGTGAGCTCTCCCTCCCTCCCACAGTAAACAACCATATAACTGTAATAAGAAGCTTTCTGAATAATTTATAATTTGCAAACAAAAATTCATCTGATTCTGCTGAAATGACAGACACTCTGCATAACTGTGTGCATTATCAAAGGGCGCTTTTTCCTTTTTACCATTTTGATGGCTGATTATATACACACATTGGAGAGAAATAACTATGTACACTATTACCTTTAAATTATTTTTTAATCTACCTTTTAATCTTTCAAAACCATACAGGAACGATGTAATTATTCTCTGCCAATCACTGGTGATGATACATTCAAAGCGTTTTCCTGTGCCAATGAACAAAACACAAGTTCAAGATAAAGTGCAGTTTGCTGCTTCTTTTTTCCTAGGAAATGGGCGTTTTAGGGTTTAATATCATCAGCAATTCGTGACTATTTTATGCTCTATTTTCCTTTGTTCCATGGAAAAAAGGCATATAATACGTATATTTTTCTCTGTGGTCACACCCCCCCCCCCCGTCTTCTCTCAGCTTGGTGTCAAGTGTGAAAATGATAGAGCTCTTTTTGTTTCAAAGCAAAAGTCTTTGATTAAAACTGATGACTCTGTTGGAGTCACTATTTAATCAGAAAATATAGAAAACAAAAAAGAGGTAATAATCCTGTCAAAGAAGGCTGAGGAAAGATTGTCTAATTTGGAAGAATATATGACATTTGGCTCAAAATCGTGACACGCTTGATAAATCCTCTATGGAGTCCTCCCGTTATGTTTATATGATGAAATTTTATATTGAGTGATTGTCTTGGAGGTACAGGTCACCCCGAGGGATACCCTGTAGATCACCTACCTTTTCAGAAGACTGGCTACTTTTTTTTTTTTTTGAGAGAGAGAGAGAGTTAATTTGT